TTCGGAGTCGGGCTTTTTCGCCACAATATGAAAATAAACTCATGCAGTTTTTAGACAACAAGCTTTCATGCAAAATTATCGGTAATTTTGAAGCACTTGTAACTTCAATAAACTAAAAATCTATTTATTAAACAGGATAGCGACTTTCAATTCTAATTAATCACCATGTACTAATGTTACAGTTAACGTTTGATACAGTTTACCTTCGAAAGTTTTAATTTGAATATTTTTTTCGGACAATTATTCGCTCTGCCGAAAACAAGATGGGAATGGCAAATTAAATTTAAGTCTTGTTTCAAAGCGCCGCAAAATGTTCGGTATATTCAATAAGAGGATATCAAGTTTACCATTCAGAACTTATGCAAAAGTTTAAAATTAAGCAAAACATAATGACGGTAGCTATATATAATTATATCAAAGGCTCAGTTTAGTGAAATTAACGCTCATAAATAATTTTGGCCCAGACATTTTTAAAGAAATATTAAACTAAACTTTCTACATAACGGAGAATTCTGGATCTCGTACGAAATTTGCGTTTAATATATGCTCTATATTTTTTCCTTGATGTATAAAATATTTGACTCTAACGGTGGCCTATTTTTTTATTTACCTTGATGACTTTATGAACGAAAATAATTTTCGAGACGAATAAATGGGTTGATCAAGAAGTTTCAAAAGGTCGAACTTATTAAGAAGTGAAAAAATTGCTTTAGAACACCAGTTTACCTTAATATACATAATTATTACGTAATTGACTAGCATATAATTTTGTGTGATGATAATGATGACATTACCATGCGTTTCAACATAACTTTATTTGGCCATGGAGCATAATAAACTTCTCTCTAATAAAGAGAAATTGGAAAACTTCTTTTATTAAGGAATCGAAATTTTTATGCTTTTGAATGCCTATTATTGACTCCTTGAGCCTGTTATTAAATTTGAAGAAAACTAAACGTAAGCTAGTAAATGTAAGTTGCCACACTTTTCACTGTAATATAAATGCTTTTTATAATTGGTGGAACTGTGCAACCTCTAAATATTTTTCCTTCATATTTTTTCAAAATAATTGGTGGTCATGGTATATGGAGATTGAAGATTGTCTAGAAACATATGTTGCAAGTTAATAATCAACAACAATAAAATAGGGATAAAT